TATAGCTGTCAATTGGTATGAGGAAAACTCTTTTATGAGTCATCCTTGTGAAACTTACCTCAGATCCATTTTGAGATAATATATAGCAAAGCTTGTCTCTGTGGGTGCATTTCTAACTCTTTAATTATTTTTGTCTGTTTATTATTATTATTCTTATTATTATTACAAAATATTATAAATATAAGCACCTGAGAGTCTAAATTGACATTGGCTGCTGCTAATGCAGAATAGTAACTGCCTTGGCTCAGGCAAAGAGTAGTCAGTGTGGCAAGAACTGTATAAAATTGCTCTGTTACACTGAGAATTTACCACCACACACATTGGAATGAGTTTGATCTTTAGTTCTTGACTGAAATATTACAGAATTTTGCTCTTATTGCTACTTGCAGAGAGTGGAAATAAATAAAACCAAACGTAAGACAAAATTAAAGATAAATCTTTCTTAAAAGACTGTTCTGCTGTGTCTGCAGGTGCAAATGAATTGAATAGTTGGACTTCCTTTTCTTTGGAAAAAGACAAGGGGAAAAAAGCAACTGAGCTGTCATCTGTATGTTGTGAAATACAGTTCCACTGATCTTCTCATTTTGGTTGCTGTGACTGCCCATATCCAGGACTGGTGTTATTCAAAGTGGATATTTATAGAGTTGTATAAATATACATGGGCTGGAGGTGGGTTGTTGTACTGGTACCATAATGAGTTGTAGTACTGCTTTCAGAAAAAGGAAATTGTCAGGCTGTGCATGCCCATAATCAAGCTTTGTCTTGGAGACATGGGTTTAGATGTTAGTAGTGGAAGTAGGACTAGGAGTAGTCAAAGCTCAGAAGCCATACAAATTGTTTTAAAGTCCACACAGTTTAATTCTGAATTCCTGAGGCAGTAGTATGAGTGATTTATCAGTTTTATCTGTGGCAAAGTTAGATTGAAAAGCTGACAAAATTGATGAATTCATTTTTTAATACAATGAATTATACTTTGTATTGTCTTCTGGCTTTTCATATAGAAATACTGCGTCAAAAGCGCATCAAGAAATATGCTCTGCAGATCATCTTCTGCTTCAGAAAGACTTTGCAGTTTTACTGTTAAAACTGTAACGTTAAATACCTTCTATTGACTACTTAGTGATATAATTTTGATTATTCTTACATTCCCAGTGCTGATTCACTTCACCTTGTCCTTTCTGAGTCAGTCTGTTGTTCTTTATGCTGTATTCTGAAAGATTCTAGAAAGCTCATTGTCTACAAAAATCCAGTCATGTTTTACCATTGCTTTAAAGTGCTTTGGCTCCATTTTCTTTGTACTTCTTTCTGTTCAGAAGATTTTAGAAGAAATACTACATAGAAATGAAGAAAATTTCAGATTAATGCATTCCCTGTCAGATCTCTTCTGGTGCCTGTCAAACCTACAGTGGTCAATTATTTTGTGTTGTAGAATATATATATGTAGAGAGAGATAAATTATATCTCTAATAATGTAGTAAAGATTTAGTGGGAAGACAACATATATTAACCCATGTAGAAATGCCTGCAAAATAAGTACAGGGTTTAAAAGAATTTTTTCTTACATTGCTTTTAAAGTAAGAGTAAGGTATTTACTTACATTCTTACATAGCTAAGAATTCATTTCACAAAAAATGCATGCGTTGTTTTTTTCTGCTTCAATTCAAGATGGAACTTCTAATGTTTCAGGTTTTTGAAATCAAACAGGGAGAAACTTTGACTTCTAAGAAAACTGATAGGGAATTGTGGATCCTGCTAAAAACTTCTTACAAGAGTGAATTTGCTGTGACACGATAGCCTTGAAGGAACATTTAGGTAATGGGACCTGATTCTGCAGTCATGAAAACTGGGAATAGCAGAGAGCTCTGGAAAGGTTTGGCAAATGTGTGTGGGAACTATGGCCTTGCTGGGTAGAATCACGTTATCCACCTGCACGTGCCATGCTGGTGAAGAGCCCAGCACAGTGAGCAGAATGTGGGCAGAAGCTGTGGCGTGGAGAATCTGTAGGCAGGGAGGGCTGTGGGAACACCCAGCTCTCAGCCATGTGCTGTTGCTTTCCTCCATGTGTTTAGAGACTGGCAGTCCCCAGGTCAGTGTGAGTCCTCTCCACACAGAATCGCCGAGGCTGGAAAAGAGATCACCTAGTCCTGCACTGATAGATTTATGGTAGGATAGAGTGAGGCTGATTAATATATCTAGCAAGAACTTTTTGAATGTTTTTCTTGATAGGCAGCAGGCAGAAACTGAACACAGTTTCCAATGGGAGATGGGAGGTGTAAGGAAGAGATACTGACGGCTCATCATACTTGGAGATCTGCTAATCAAGGGGGGCACTGGGCAGAGTGCCCTTATGCCTCAGGGGACCTGAAGAACATTACTGTATGGCAATTCCAAACCCGTGGTATTTGGAAAATATTACCTGGGTCTTTTTTTTTTTTCAGTCAAACCAAATTTCTGTTTAGCACTTTCTCCATTAGTTTTATAGTTTCTTCTGAGTTGTCTTGAACTTGTTTAGAAATGGCAGTTTGCTCATCCAGTGAAATGAATGTTATTAACAAAACTGCATTTACCTCCAACCTTGGCACTAACACCCTTCACTTCCAGCTGGAAACAGTTAATGTAGATACAGAACAGTTGTGTTATTGGTAGCAGATGGAAATTATTGAGCTAGTATGAAAGTTTTTGTTGTCTAATGGCTTGAAAAGGGCCAGGTTACAATCTGTTTTTCCTATTGTCCATGATAGTTAAACTTCAGATTAACTTTTGGAGGCTTCTTATTTGGTTGTATTTTTTATGATTTGCAGTTTAGGTAGAAATTATTCCTCTAGCAAAAGAAGTTAAAATAAATCACTATGCACCATTTTGTTCTGGTGGCTTTGCAGGTAAATTGATACACTCCCGAGGACAAGAAACATGTATTTTTGCACTTAAAGTACTTTACCATTACTCATGAATTTTGCATGGCAGTGGATTCCAAAAGCCAGCATATAAAGGAGAAGCTAGGCTTGACTGAATGCTGAGTCAAGCCTCAGACTGTATTTCTCTCTGCTATTAATACTCTTGCCACTGTTATAATGTACTTTTTCTTTCTTCTTTTAGCTATTTACAGCTAAGTATGGATAGGGGAGTTTTTCTGACACAGTAAAACTTATCTAGAAAATAATATAAGCAGCTCAAGATTGCTGAAGTTATTATTTGTCTGCTGGCATAAGCAAAGATACAAAATTGAAGTTAGAATTGTGTGGTGGAAGAGTTTACAAAGAAAGCACAAAGAGTCCAATGTAAGCGAGAGCTGAATCCAGGCACTGGTCAGGGCAAGCACTCATTTGCTGGACCCAATCAGCTTGTGCCAGCAAGGCTGCTTCCAAACCTTTAGGAAGTTTGCTCATCTTCCCCTGAAGATGTTCACAGGGAATAGAAGATATGCCAGTGGAAGGTGATGTTTCACTGTCTCCTCTTGCCTTGGTGTTAAACAGAACGTGTCAGCACAAAAAGTTTAATGCATTGTTCCCAACTTGAGGATTTGTGGTTATATTGGTTTACGCTGCTGTGAATGATGAAACAGGTTTTTCATCAGCATTGCTTTCAGATGAAATGTCAGCAATTCTTGCAGAAAGTGTTTGTCTCTTGTTTTTGCCTGTCACTGGCACAGCGAATGGCCGACTTCTGTGAACCAGTTCTGTGCTCAAAGTACCTGACTCCTGCTTTTGTCCCAGGCAAGTGAGTAGAAATTTCAGTAGTTGTTTATCTACTCCAAAATAAAATAATCATAACAGAAGTGATCACGAAGGATGGTGAATTATAAACTGTCTAGGCTATAACAGTATTAAACATGTGAGAATTAATGCATAAGGGTGGTACTGAAAGGTTTTCAGTTTGGCATTCTTGGTCACGATGCTCTGACAGGCCTCTCTGCAGTGATCCATTCAGATAAGGTGAAACTGTAATTCTCTGAGAGGAATCAACAGCAGAACAGGGATCTGCTTGCAAATATGCATTGGGAAACTGAAAGCCCTCTAATTTTCCATTCTGCTTATTCCTCTGAAGAGATGAACTTTCCTCCCACACCTTTGGCCATTTACTGATCACCTCTACCTGCAGATGTAACAGAGCTGTGCCTACCTAGAACAAATAACTGGTCCAGCATATACCATTCTGGTGCTAGAAAGGGTGCTGGCCTCTGCATTTTCTGTACTCTGGAGAAGGGCAGCTTCTTTATGAGATCTTGCCTGCAGGACTGTATGGATTGTCCACGGTGTGCTTTAGTGTTCCCTGTGTTGGGGAATAAAAAATCACCAGCTGCCCACTTTCACCACTGCTGTGTCTTTTGACCTAGGCAGAGCAGTATCAGTCCAACTGCAGTCCCTCGGTCGAGTTTGATGTGGGCATTATGTGTGTTGCCATCCAGCAGATCACCTGATGTCTGAATTGTTAAAAATAGTAGCATGCTGCTGGAATAGTTATGGGATCTGTAGACTGAGCTAACAGAGAGGTACCAAATGATGAGTATCAAACAAAGGAAATATAAATTTTGGAGAAAAAAGTTGTACATTTAAAATTGCATTAAATTGCTCTCGCTGTGCATGTGTTTATAGTACTTTGCTATTTTCTAAGAGTTCTTATCTGAAAATTGATTAGTGAACTGGCTATGCATATATCAATGCTTACTAAGACTTTCTGTTATTGTGCCAGATCTTAGCAAAACACAAAAACAGACTGAGAGAAACAGACCTCGAGGGAATGTGTGGTAAATCATCAGTAGCAGAAGAGGCATGGCCTTCTCCCCCATTCTCAATCTGAAACATCTGTCCTGTCTTTTCATACACAGACTGGATTTTCAGAACTGGGAAGGATCGGGATGTTTCTTTTCATTCTGTTCTTTAATTCTAGCCTCTACCTTTACATATATAAGATTTCTTTACCAGTAAAATTTTGTTGTTTGTTAAGCATCATCTGGAATTTTCAACTCTCTCACTGCTATGTTCTAAACTTTTTTTTTCTAGAGCCTGTGTTATCTTGGGTGTCATATTCCTCCTATCATCTATATGTATTGTGATCAAAGCTATTCACGATCTTGCAAAGAGGGTTCTTCCAGAAGTGGTAAGTTGATTCATGTTCTTTGAAGTATTCACTTTATCCCTCACACTGCCAGTGAGACAGAGAAAGGCCAAAGTCTCCTTCTAGTTTTTAAAGGTTTTTATAGGCTTGACTCCACATTTTCTTCTCTACGGTTACATCTACAGGCCAAGTCTTTCTCAGCATAATCATTTAAAACTTTTATACAGGACTGCAGAAGTTTACTTAAAGTGAGGCAGTCTCTCTGGGCATAATGGAAGTGGTGGAATTTTGATAGGAGAATCTTTCCACAGTTTAGTACTATTTCATTATCTTCATTTGGAAAAAAGCTTTTCTTTTCCCCCAGCTCTTGCTTCCAATTCCAAAGCCACGTGCAAGTAGCAAGAACAAAAGAGTTAAAGGGAGAATGCTGGGTGAAACAGCTGGCTTTTCAACCAGCTCACCATGGAGCATCACAAAGGGTTTTTCTCCTGCTCTCTGCTTTGTATTGGTTATGAAAGCCAATCCCTACCTGGCCTACAGAGCAGCTTTCCCCAGGAGCCCTAATCTCAGCTCTGCTCTGTCCTATCCTCCTTGCTTCCTTCCAGCAGCGGTTATTAACTTCCCTGAGCTCTATTCAGCCAAATCAGCTGCTCATTGGAAAAGCCATTTGGCAGTGGTTCCACTCCCAGAAGACTGTTCCTAAAGTGCCCCAAAAAAGTTAGGCTTAGATTTAGTTATTGTATAAACTACCTGACCTGGGTGTTTTGCATTCAGCCTTGAAGTATTGTCTATTTGTAATGTACAGACTTTTACGTCAGGGCTTCTGCCATACAAGTATCACTTTTCACATATGATTGCAACTCCTTACTTTTGTCCAAGAGGTGGAGGCAGAGCTGGGGGGGGAAAAGAAAAAAAAAACTAAAATGAAATTTGAGTCCATTACCATGTTAGCAGTGCAGATGACCTACTGGGTGCTGTATTGTCATGGCAACTTCTGAAAAACTGGCCAACAACAGAACATAGTTTTCAGTAGCATGGTGAAATTTGAACCACAAGTAGCATAGCTAAAGCCTATGAATTAATGCATTATTGAATTGAAGCCAAATGCATTGTATGGCTGCAAGTGATTCGTGTTCTCTTTGCATTTCACTTTTCCTCTTTTCCACTCTTCATAATTTACTGCCTCCTCAGTTTTACCTGTGTAAACAGCACATGTAGTTATTCCCCAGCCTGGTTCTGTCAAAATAATCTAGGTTAACTTGAACACTTTTAGTAGTCATTTCTCCAACTCAACCAAAACATTGTGACAGAACTGGGTTAGGGAGCGAGCGTGGATGCCTGTGTGCCAGCAAAGCAGAAGGAAATCCTGGTAAGGGTGGGGGAAGACCCTTCACTGATGGTCAGGTAAAAGACAACCTCTTAACTTAGCTGTACCCAAACAGTGCATCTGGCTGCAGTTTGACTTGTACTGAGCGAGAAAATGAAGTCTAGGTATAAGAAGCAGCAGTAGGCCAAGAAGGCTTGATGGTAGCATAGTTCAGATTAATTTGGATGACTCAATCTAATTCATGGGGGGTAAATAAACATCTAGTGTTTTCAGCAGTAGAAACAAAAGTTTAAAAGGTATGCCATCTTCCATCATTACAGGTATCATCTGTAGGTGAGGACTCTGTTTCTTACATGGAAAGAAAAGTCTCGGAGACATGTTGTAATTTCTTGTATTTTAACTTTTAATTTTTGAAGTCTGTGTAAAGCAGGAATAAAATTTGATATCTACAGAAAAGTGTCCAGAAAGAGCAGGTCCCACTATGTTTCAAAGTCCTGTAGGAATCATTTGCTCAGATCCCATCTGTAACAGACTACCTCGGATTCAGACTTTGGTGGCCTAAAAACTGTATTGAGTGGGTGGATTCTACTTACATTTGACCCAGTATGAGGATAAATATTTTGTTCCTGTGATGTCAGGCTGTCTGACTCTCAAGTAATATCAGTTGTTGGAAAGATGTGTCTGGCAGGGCACAGACTATGGCTCTCTAGTTGCAGGATGAATGCCACATGCGCACAGAAAGGGTTTTTCATACCTTCTGATTTTGCCTGGAAGGTAGGTTGGAACAAGGAATGAAAAAAACATGATGCTTCTGTCCTTCCATCTCTTAAATGACAAGGCAAGGATTCTCTTCTCAAAGTCTTCCAGTACCTTGCACTGTGTGAAATTGATTCAGGTAAGGGTTTCATAACAGTTGAAAGATCTCTTTGTAAACTAAGGATAACACTGGCAAAAAAAGACAACTGAGAGAACAGGGTTATAACAAATACATTACTGTGAATAATAGCCAGTGAGGTATTGAACGTAAAGGTTACTATATTAAAGATACTTAAGGAAAAGAATGTTGTTCAGTGGAAACCTGTTCTGTTGCTCTAGCCGTGCCCGAATCTGATATGATTTTCTATTTGTGTAATGCTCCCTTAGCATTACTCAGTGCTCTCTGTCTCAGTAGAAATAGTTTTTCTTCCCAGTTCTTTGGGTCTGTGCTGGTCAAAGATGTTTTTAGATAACCTGCAGCCACTTAGGCAGTGCCATTAGCTCAGAAGAATGGAAATCTGCTCAAATGCAATCAGCCAGAGCATAAGTTTCTGCTTCTACTCTTATATCTAGAGCGTTGCCAAAGTTATACAAAAGTTACCAAACTTATACAAAAGAAGCATAAAGAGCTCCTTACTGGAGTAAGATGACGGAGGTTACAGTGTCTCACATATGAGTCATAATTGCATGATGCTTTTGTATAGTTGGTCTGAAATAGTCTTTCTTGAAGCAAAGGTCATTAAAGGTGTGGGTACTTTTCAAAGTGTTGTGTGAAATTTTAAATGTGTGACTTCAGTCTGATGGGTCGATGTGGTTCAACCCAACTGGAAAATATTGCTCTCAGTATTCAGATGCTGGTTGCAAACTAATGCTGTCAATTTTTCTTGAAGACAGAAATTGTTTTCTGAGTGTTGCTCTAATAGTTGTGTGCATCACTGTCAGAACTGTAAAGTCTGTTTTTTACATCTTAATTTGTCGTAAACTTCCATGACTTTGCCAGAATTAGAAATTGGAAGCAATTGTATCTTCTGCATTCATCTTAATTTGTGTTAGTTTAAGAGAAAATAGTATGCAGTGGACAGATTAAATTTAACAGAACAACCAATCAGGTATCCTTTAGTGAGTTGTAGCATGCTAAGATTAAAAACCTAAAAATATAGTTAATCATTTTGGAATCATTCTGGATCATTTATACAAAGTTTGTTGTATTTCTTGTTGTATAGAAGATATACAGTGTTTACTATGTCTGTTTTTACTATTCGTGCAGTGAGAAAGATTTTTCCTTAAAAAGAATTTGAGGTCTTTATTACAGAGATTCTGTTGTCCTTGAAGTGGATGGATCATGGCCAAGTGGCTTTTATGAAAATACTGCTAACAAGAAAGGATGAGGAATTCATGTGACTAAGAAATCATTTGAAATGCTTTTTCAAGTGTTTGGAACACAGATTTTGTTTGTGTGGACATTAGAAAAGGAGTATGTTGTATTTTTGTCATTTTGTACAATGATTTAAGCTGCAGGTCTGACAGTCCTCACCAGGATTCAGACAACCAAAAAGAGAATGACAGTTGTACTTATGGCATTTCCAGCTTGAGCACCCCATCCATTACATAAGGGGCTTAAATGCCCACAGTTCCTTGTTAGACTGCAGAGAGCATCTGCTTAATTTGCAGGCCTGGCTCACAGGATAGCTCAGTGAGGCATTTTTCAATCGCTTAGCTGAATTCTCTTTTATACCACACTGAGCATAATTTCATTGAAACACACTGAATGACAGTAGTTCCAATATTCAGAATTTTGAGGGGCACAATCCTGACAGCTGCAGGTGGGCCTGCTTCTGTAATCTGCATCTCTGCACATCCCATGGCTTTGGGGATCCAAGCTTGTGGTTCCCTGTTTCTTCTATCGATTTCTAGAAACAGTTTTTAAAGCTCTGTATGTTTTTAGTATCAGCAATATCATGTGATGCTGTAATTGTGCACTGTGGGAAGGAATACTCCATTTTGTGGTTTAACTGTTTTCTGATATCATAGAATCATAGAATGGTAGATTTTCAAAGAATTTCATTCGTTGCCTCCATAATTCCTGTATTGGAAGAGGTACTTAATTATTGTTTCCCAGTTAATCACCTCCATCCCATCGTAAGCCTACTTTCATACGTCCCACTTGTCCTTTCTGACAGCAGGAGAGCCTCTGCTGTCTAATCACTTCTCACATGGGAGATATTCATTATCTTTGGTCACCACTGACTTCCTTTGTAAGTTTCTTTTCAGTTTTGTCTCCATTTTCAGACGGTGAAGCCCAAAGAGCCCATATGATTGAAGGTATAAGAGTCACCAGAGACTGATATTTTATATTCAAATTGCTGTTGACCACTAAATTGGTATTTCTACAGAACTTTAAACTGTAACTTCCATATTCTGCAGTCAGTTGCCTGTTCAGAAATTGCCACTGCTATGTAAACTTAGGGTTTTTCCTATGCACATTATGTTATCTAATAATTGAAAAGAAGCCTGCTCTGAAAAATGGCATTCTGTGTCAGGAGAGTTGGCCGGTGAATTAATTATTCACATGCAATAGCATAATTAATGTAAGAATTGAATTCTATCATGGGAAGAAGTTTCCTTTTAAATAATTGAGATATGTATTAATCCCCAAGGTTTGAAATACAATCCCTTCTGCTAGCATTTTCAATATTTGTGATACAGAGCAGTGCTTTCCAACAGCTGGTCCATAGGATTATATTATTGTGTTTTTAAATGAGTTAAATCATGAAGTCATGAATTATAAGGTTGACAATAAAATGTAGAAATAGGAGAAACTAAAGGGAACTAAAAGGATCTGTTTGTCCAAACAGCCTGGAAACCACCAATATTGAATATACATGGTGAGAAGTGGAAAGGATTGTTGTTCTCCTACGTATGCCTTTAGGAGCAATGTGCAGAGCCCTGTAGGTGAATA